AGCCGGCGGGATGCTGCGGGCTCGCTCCCCGGCAGAGCCAATGACTGAGCGGCGGGCGCGCTGCCGCGGCCGGCGCGGGCGGCACGGATCCGTGGATCTGCCGCGTGACGCTCCCGCTCCAATGGGCAGCCGGGCGGGAGGAGCGGCCCCGGGGCCGCGGGTGCGGGCAGGGCGCGGGGCTGGCGGCGGAGCCGGAGCGGCCGCGGCCGTCGAGGGGCGGGAGCGGCGAGCTCCAGGCGGAGCATCAGCTGCGAGCAACATCTGAGTGTCGCTGGACGGGCCGGAGGGCTCACACCCCAAGGGCAAACATCGATTTTGGAGGGAGAGGGATGGCCCGTCTCCCCCTGGGGACTAAGGGACCATGGGAGTCTTGCACACGTGGAGTCTTTGTGAGTGGGACCTGGTGGGGAGCAGTGAAGGTTGTTAGAGGCACTGTCTCAGCTGCCAGGAGGTGGAGGACAGTGCCCTAAATCTTCAGGGATTTGGTTCAGGTCTCTCGAACCATACCACAGGATAGATCATGTTGGAAGGGACCACATTGAATCATGTGGTCCAGTCTCTCTGTTAAAGCTGGGTCATCCCAGAGCACATTACACAGGATTGCATCCAGATGGTTCTTGAACATCTCCAGTGAGGGAGACTCCACTTCTCTGGGCATTTTGTTCCAGTGTGTGGTCACCAGCACAGTAAAGTTCTTCCTCATGTTCAAGTGGAACTTCCCATGCATCAGTTTCTACCTGCTGAAGAGCCTGGTTCCATCCTCTTGACATCCCCCTTTAGATGGTTATATACACTGATGAGGTAAACCAATCATCTGAATTTGCAAACCTATGAATTGTTGCTTCTTAAATCAAAGAGACATTTTGGAATATGATATCTATAGCTTGCTCTGACAGACTCGCTGGGGGTTGGTAGGACATCTGGAGATCTAGGCCTGCTAAGTCATCTAGGGTGTTTTGCTCAGGACATGAGTTGGGTCTTCAGTAGCTCCAAAGATGAAGACTCCATAATTTGTCTGGGAAGCCATGATCACTCTCACTGGAGAAAAAAAAAATCTCATGTTTAATGGAAGTGTCTGTTATTCCAATTTGTGTCCATTTTTTCTTGTTCTGACACTGGATACCACTGAGAACAATCCCACTCCATATGCTTTACTCCCACCATAGGTCTTCATCCACATCAGTAAGAGTGCCCTGAGCCTTCTCTAAGCTCAGGGATCACAGATCCCCTAGTGAATGTTCAGACATCCAGGCTCTTCATCATCATAACGGCTTCTAATAATTTTCATGGCAACCAAATGCTGAAAGGAATGACATGGCTTCATTTTTCAATCCAGGCTAGGAAACTAGTCTGAGACATCACCAATCCAACAAGGCAGCCAGCCTCCTGCAATACCCTCCCCCCTAGTGTTAGAGTGGATCTTTGCCAATCCTCTGACACTTGTTAGCACTGTCTTCTTCTGTTCCTCCATAGGCAGGACCTGGCTCTTGGACAGTACCGTCCCTCTCCAGCAATGACCATAAAAGCTATCAATACTGTCGTCTTCATCTCAAAAACACAGAACTGATGCTTATGCATGCTCATGGTTGTAATCAGGAATGTGAGTAAGCACAATGGCAAGTCAGGAACTTCCCATATCCTGCTATTTGCACTGCTGTTGAAAAGGCAGAATGACTCAGGCTTTTGCTCATTTTTCTGAGTCTTAAAAATAATTAGTGTTCAAATTATCTCTAAAAAGAAGAAGCCTCATTAGCCAATACTCCACTTCCAACACATCTCTGCTACATAGTGCAAGAAAATATTTTAGAGCTTTTATACTAAATGCAAAGAAACAAAAAACAAACCACAGACTAATGAATCAGAATAGTAGCATTTTTCTAAAGATTCAAAATTTTGTTTCTAACAGTTCTTATTAGTGACTTAATTAGTGAATTAATGACTGTTCAATAATAGCAATGCAGCTGAGATTGCAGCAGAAGAAACACAGTATTCATGCCTGATGAGATATAGAACTGCAGGTGCACAACTGCAAGTGTAGATAAGGGTGCAGCACAATGTTTTTTCCATTCCTCCTGTCATTTAGTTTTCTGACTCTTTATACTCATCATTACTGTCTCTTCCTCTTAATAGGGACAGCAGTGGGAATTTTTAAAATTCCCAAAGGAATTCAGCTGAGGGAAGAGGAGAGGTAGCACAGGAATTCATATTGTGGCTGACCAGAATGCGGAGCTTCATCTGCAGCAGCTGCCCTCTAATGGCTCAGCAGCTGCAGCATCAGCTCGGGTTTAGTGACACACAGCCAGAAACTGCATTTACAATTAGAGCACAAATTCTGCAGAAATTCATTCTACTAGTCCTTCTCTCTTCCCAGTTCTTTAAATTTGTGTGTAGTTAGCAGCTGCCTGGGGTTTAGCAGACACCTAGAAAGCAAAGGAAAGTAAACAACACTTCTCACTGCAGCTGATTTAGAACTGACAACAAAGAAACAAAAACCAACAAAACAACAACAGGAAAACAGTCTTGAAAGGAACATTACTACAGAGTTAAAAACTTTGAATTCCTTCCAGATCTGTGGTGGTTTAAACAGAAAGAGAAGAGCTTTCCTGCACGACTTACAACAATTATGACTTTGTTCTAAGAATAAAGTTGTATGGTTGCATTACATGTTAAAAAAATTATATAAAGAAACAAGCTTCTGAAATCTTGTCATTTTTCTGTACTACACTCTCAAAAATGCTTTTCAAGGCTGCAGATCTACAAACCAGCTGCCCAAGCTGACTTTCAATAGTATTGTTGATAGACAATTGTACTTACAAATTCAGGGTTCAAAGTTGTCAAAAATTGATTCTGATTTTTCTCCAAACTGTTGAATTCCTGTTTGTCATGTTTTAAAATAAATAATATTTTAATGGAAAGCATATTTTATACACCTTTCAAGATGAAACTAAATTAGAAGCTAAGACTAAAACATTTATGAATGCAGGGTGAAATTTTAACAGAAGCCACCCCTTCAAGTTAGATGAAAATCTACAGATATAAATAATTAATTAAAAGTGGATTACTCACACATTGTGTTCATATCTTGTAGTGATAGCACTTTCACAAGCAATAATTTTAAGGTGGAATTAATATTAAGTGGAGGCTGCAGAAAAACTGTGGGGAAATGGCATGTTGTGCCAGTGGAATAGCTTCTGAGGCTCCCTCCTTGCTCATTGTAGCCATAGAGAATCCACCTTCCTCCATCGAAGCATCTTCCACTGCTCTTATGCTCAACTACTGAAAATGTTTTCTCCTTTCCTGTTGGAGTTTAAAGTCTTAGCACCATTTTTCTGAGGTGTTTGTTGGTATATTCTAATGGTGACTGGGTAACTATAATTACCATCCTTTGAATAAGGCTCATAGCCTTGAACACTGCATCCCTTTTTTCCTTTTAGTACTCTATTTTCATTTTTCAATTAAGATAGATCAGAACTTAGACATTATTCCAGCACCAGCCACACAAAAGGTGAACATCAACTCTAATGATCCTGCATATTCCTCTTTTCAGTAGGATGTAAAGACAACATAACCACTTCA